CAAATAGAGGACTTTGTCCACTTCTTAAATTGCTTGTCTCTACTACCTAGACCAGAATGTCTGGAACATAGCATGTGATCAATATTGTTTCAATGAACTAATGAGGTATTTTGTGGGGAGTTCAGTTTGCAAACAAACATATTTCATAAAATGGTTGACCAAAGTAAGAAATATGTTATGTTTGAATAACTCATAGTGACATTCGAGAGAGAGCAGTGTACCTCCAGAAATGTTTGTCAGCTTGTCCAAACTCATAGAGACTGGAATTTACCACAAACTCCAGCCTCACACGTTCTCAAAATTCATGCTGTCATCTTGTTAGCAGGTCAGGAAGGACCCAATTCTCAGTAGAAGGCTCACATTGGCAAAACTCATGAGGTTGAATTCCAAACTAATAATACAGATTCAGAAATAAAACTGTCACTGATAGCCATTTCCCTACCTTTTCATATGATTGAAGCAGCCAAATTGTAATAAAAATTTTGCTTGCCAAGCATGAAACTAGAACATTAATTAAATGTTTAATGCCATCCAGCTAAGACTTGACTTTTTAAATAAACTGGTATATTTTTAATTACATGTTTCTGTCCATATTCAAAATAGGACAAAATTTTGTGGATTTTTGTTTTACTTTTTGCTTTGTAATGTTAGTAGCTCTGATTGCCCATGTCTCTTGTAAATATAATAGTCTGATATTTCTAAGACATAAAACATTTCCTGGAACTGTTTCATGTTTTTAAAAAATAATCCTGTATTTTTATCATCAGTTCGATTATTTGCTGATAATTTATTTTAGTATTATTAAATAATTATTGGGTCATTTTTCATGTTGGGTACTGGAAATTTCGTGGCAAATTAGACAAGGGTCTTCATCTTATGTATCTTACAGTGTGGCCTGGAAAACAGTTAACAGGCAACTGTAGCACAATATTTTAAGTTTACCCAGCACGCTAGAAGGCCATATATGAAGGACACCCAGCTTATTCTTGAGAGATTGGTGAAGTCTTCCCAGACTTGATGAAATATACTTTAAACCTCAATGAATATAGACTGTATGGACTAGATTAATAAAATTGCTTTAAGGAATTAGAATAGGAAGGGAAATGTGTTCTCATCAGGAGCGAAACCTAAGAGATTCAGGAATATGGCGCATGAATGCAACCATACATGTTTCTCTGTGAGTGGAGCTTAAATCGATGTAAACAAATGTAGCAGGAAGACATGAATGCTATTGGGAAATTTTAAACAACAAAGAATCATACTAAAATGTGTCCTGTAGAAAGATATTATTGACTAGAGTGTGGATAATTCACTGGGAGGCTGGAGGAAGAGACAAGGAAATCCTAAAGTCAAAGTCACCAGTTAGGAGGTTTTTATACTAATTTGTGTGAGAAATAATTCTGGTCTAAATAAAAGTAATTACAGATTGCACAAAAATAAAAAGACAGATGTCAGCTATATGAAAGAGGATGTTTTATAAGATTTGATTATCAACCGTGTGTGAGGTAAGAGGAAAATTAAGCACCCCTAAGAATAAATGCCAGGTTCCAGTTTGCACCCTGAGTGGGTAGTGTCATTAAGTGGGAAATGTATGCCGCGAAGCTTTTGGGTAAAGATGATGAATGCACCATTGATATGACTAATTCAGTGGTCAGTTCAGTATGCTTTTCACATGTTGGTTGACATGAACTTGGAACTCAAGAAAGAGACTTGAAATAAGCTCTAAGAATCATCTGCATATCGACTGAATTTGAGTGTTGAAGTAATTTTTCAGGAAATGAATTTAAGGGAAAGATAAAGAAGGATAAACTGAGAAGGATTTGGGGATGCAATAGTCAGAGGTGTAATAGGAAACTCTGGAGCTTAGCTGCCATTGAAGAGAATTGCAGGCAATTCTCTACCGTGCCTGCTGTTGTAGAGAGATGAAATAACATATGGACTGGAAAAAAATGTTCACTAAGTATAACATTAAATCAGTTTGGCAACAATAATTTAAGTCAAGTGTTGAATAGAAACCACATTTTTGTCTGTTGGGAAGTCAAGGAGATAAAGGGGATTAAGAGACTAAGTGTGGAAAACGTAATCAAAGATTTTATATTTGTAGGGAGAAAAGATATGTCAGTAGCTAGAGGAATATTGGAAGTTAAGATTTTAAAAAATGATTTCTTGTAAGAAGATTAAAATATTTTAATACTATCAATATGTAAAACAAAAAAACTTTGCTTTTCAGAATTGTTTGTAATGCCTCATTTTGTCTGCAGGTGTTAACCAGATGCATAAAGTACAGTTGGATGTGAGAAAAAAAGGAGTTCAGGAAAAATTTCAAGAGAGAATATGGGAGAATGGGGAAGATAAAGGAAAGAAGAAGGAAAAGAAGGAAGGAAAAAAAAGAGGGAAATTATTTCCTTTACAGTCATAAAGGAAATAATTTTAGTAAACATCACATTTAAGGGGAACAGAGGGAGCTAAACCTAAACAGACAACACACAAATAAACGATCAGACAGTAGGAACTAGGAGATACGGCATCCTACAGTCCCATGTGGACGAGTATTTGAAAAAGGAGGGGTCAGTAATATCAGATGCTGCCAAGTGGGAAGTCCAGATGGGACTCATGATATTTCCTTATGCAATAACTTACATAAGGAGAACAGAAAGAGAAATAGGCTATAACTAGAGAGTAAGAGCGAATCTAAAGAAAGATTGCTAAAACTCATTTAAATCCAACTCAAATGTGATTTACTCTGAGAAAGTTTATCTGAAAAATCCATTAGGAACATATTTCCATTCCCTCAACATTCCTATAGTGCAACTACCATACACACAAGCAATTTCACCTCTTGGAGTTTAGTCGAAAGAAGTAAAGACTTGTGTACATTTTTAAAAACTATACATAAATGTTTATAGTAGATTTATTTGTAATAACTAAAAAAACAAAAATAACTCCATGTTTCCTTCAATGGCAGAAAGGTTAGACAAATGGTAGTATATTCGTATCATGGAATATAATACAGCAACAAAAAGAAACAAACCACTGATACATGCATCAGCCTGAATCAATCTCCAGAGAATCATGCTGCGTGGAAAACAGAAACATCTCAAACAACATATACTGTATGATTTAATTTATGTAACATTCGTGAATTGACAAAATTATAGCAATGGAGACCAGATTAGTGGTTCCTTGGGGTTAAAAGGAGTTACATGTGGGGAGATGTAATGTGATTATAAAAGGGCAACATGAATTATACTCATAATTTTCTATATCTTGATTATATTAATTAATGTCACTATCTGGCTGTGATATTTCACTGCAGTTGAAAGTTGTTACATTGGTGAAAACTGGCTAAAGAGTACATGGGGTCTCTCTTGTAATTTCCTACGAGTTCACGTAAATCTATAATTTTCTCTAAATAAAAAAGCCTTTTAAAAGTTAATTTAAAAGGCTTAAAAATAAGCATACTGTTAAAAAAAATAGTTGAAAGAGCCCCAGTTTTGAAGTCACATTGCCTTGGGGTTGAATCCAAAGTCTGCCACTTTTTTAGTTATGTAAATGTCATCTTGGTGAGCCTTAAATAAAAATTATCAAGATTACCATCATCATCACAACCACCATTACTAAAATCCTTAGGGAGTTCTTAATATGTCCTATTTACTGTTCAAAACACTTTGTGCATTTTAACACATTTAATTCTCTCAACAGCCCTATCAGGTAGGGATCATTATTATCTTAATTTCGAATACTGAAAAAACTAAGATACAGAAAGAAAAGGTAATAATGCTTAGGGCCAAATCGTAACTAAATGAACACGAATTTGAGCCCAAGCAGTGTTACGTAAGACTTGATACCTGCCCCTAACATTTATGGGGCAAGACAAAAAGTGAAAAAGAGGCCCCATGCTGTATGTGTAACTGTTTAATATATATATATTACAAATATACTTTGTAAGCCACTTGGAAGATTATGTTTGAATTTAAAATGTTCAGACACTTAACAGTTCTACTCTATAAACATCACTTACCATGTTTTCCTTTCCACCCATTATTTGGTTTCTGTGAGCAGCTCTTTGCACATTTGAGTACACACTCCAGGCTGCAAACTAAAGCCTTGTTCATACTCAGGCCTGAGGTATGAATACCAGTGAGTCTGTGTGTTTTTGTTTTTGGTAGATGGACATGGAAAAAAGACTGTGCAAATGCTGGAAGCACAGAGCTTTTAGTCAGGGAATCCCAAGATCCTGAATACCAGAGTCCTGGTGTGGAAGTAGGTAGGATTCGTTCTAACTGTAATGGCTTCTTGACACTGTGGAATCGCCCTTCACATTCTGGGAGGGGAATGGATAAAAGAGACACAGAGTCATCCGTGGCAGCAAAATTCCCTTTCTGATTTTGCCTGACACGCTGAAGAATGCGCCCATGGTAGAGGGCATGAAAAATAAAAACTAAGGCTCAGGGGCTGGCCGGGGAAAGGTGCCCATGTGGCCGCAAGAGGAAGAGGATGTGGAATGGGAGGTGGGAACATCTTCCAGAAGGCAAGATAATTTTCTCCGTTGAACAGAACGTTGCCCTTTTTCCTTTTAGGTTGTCTGAGTTCATTGGGGTGGGTGCTTGTGTATATGTCCTAGGTATTCTTTTGACATTTCTCTTTAGATCAGGGGAAATGTTAAGCTATATAAATCTGGGGTGGGGGGGTTGTTCAAAAAAAAAAAGACACAAAGTGACGTCCATTGTAAAGGGTCCCTCTTACCCTTAGGCCTAAAGTCAAACTTAAGCCTGAGTGAGACACTGGCCTTATTTCAACGGGAATAATGCTTGCCTTTTATAGTTGTGAAAACTACATGAGGTCTGTCACGTATATTGTGGAGGACGTGTGCTATGGCGCTACATTACAGGGAATACGTAGCTTTTCTGTTAATATTTGCAGTTATGCTTTATTGTCAATCAGTAAATGTTTCCAACATTAATATTATTTTATAGTCGTACCATTTATTTTCTTGATAGATGGACTGGAGGCTTTTACCAGGTTTCTTAAAACTGAATTTAGTGAAGAAAATATTGAATTTTGGATAGCTTGTGAAGATTTCAAGAAAAGCAAGGAACCTCAACAAATTCACCTTAAAGCAAAAGCAATATATGAGAAATTTATACAGACTGATGCTCCACAAGAGGTACAGTAAAGATAACTGTAAAATGCATAACTGCTTTCAAAACTTTTAAGATAATAATTTTATTTTTAACTATGTGAACTATATTTTCCCAACTTATTTTTATTTTATGATTGACATTTAATAATTATACATTGTTAATGGGATACAGTGTGATGTTTTAATACATGTATGCATTGAATAATGATAAAATCAGAGTTAGCATATTCATCAAATTAAAGATTTATCATTTCTTTGTGGTGATAATATTCAATATCTTCTTTTCTAGCTATCTTGAAATATACCATGTATTATTATTTGCTATACTCACCCTACTACATAATATAACACTAGAACTTATTCTTCCTATCTATCTGTGTGCCTGTTGATCAATCCTTTCCCATTCTCCCATCCTTCCTACCTTACCTAGCCCTTGCTAACCACTATTCTGCTCTCTACTTGTATGTGAGCTGCTTTATTAGATTCCACATCCAAGTCACATCATGTAGTATTTACCTTTGTGAGCCTGGCTTATTTCACTTAATATAATGTCCTCCAAGTTCATTCATGTTGTCATAGATGACAGAGTTTCATTTTTATATATCTCATTAATATTCCATATATACGACATTTTCTTTATACATGTATCCTTTGATAGATATTTAGGTTGATTTCATCTCTTGGATATTGTGAATAGTGCTAGAATAAACATGAGAATGTAGATATTTCTTTAACTTGCTGATTTCAATTCCTTTAGATATATACCTATAAGTAGAATGGCTGGATCATGTGGTAGTTTCATTTTTCATTTTGAGGAGCTCTCATGCTATTTTCTGTCATGGCTGGACTAATTTACACGCCCACCAACAGTGCATGCGTTTCCCTTTCCCCACATCCTCACCAACATTTGTTATTTTTTGTCTTTTTCAATAGCCATTCTAACTGCAGTGAGTTGATATCTCATTACGGTTTCTAATTGCATATTCCTGATGGGTAGTGGTGTTGAGCATTTTGTCTAAAATGGCATTTTATGTCTTTTTTTAAGAAATGTCTATTCAGGGCTAAACTTTTGAGATAATCTGCTTTTATCAAATTTCTACCCCCATATATTCTACCCGAATGTTCATGATGTTGCCTGAGCAAAGATAATTATTCATATAGAGTTATCCATACAAATGGAATACATTGTGAGATATTATCATAGAAGGAAAAGGATGATTAAAGTCACTCCTCAGAGTTATTTTCAATCTAGACTAAAAGTGAATAGAATTAATTGCAACATTTAGATTCATTCACTTCTTCCTATTAATCACTTTAGCACAAGCAAGCTCTTATAGAAACTAAAGTTTTCTGTAAGTGATGAAATCAAGAGAAATCAAGAAGTTTGCATCATGTCACATTTTAATTTTGGCTCATCTATTTATACAGAGTTTTGTTTGTTTCAGGGCTACTTTAAAGACAAGTTTAAAGAAAAATTTTATAATAGAGAGATGAAGCAAACCTAACTAGGCAAGTTTTCAAGTGGAAAACAATTGAGATTTCTTTTCCTCCAAATTCAGTGTGAAGTAATTGTGATACAATTGCTAAAATGGTTATAAGACTAGCTAATATGACTTGACTGCCCTCAAATATTATTTAAATAGGACTTCTATGTTTCTATTATATGTTTTATAAATAGCGCTTCTCCCAAAACCAATGTTTTACATAGATTTTTTTTTTTTAAAGGCAGCTAGTTGCACTGTGTTATGAGCAAGGGGAAAGAAAGCCCTACCTGAAAACCTACCACCATTAGAACCAGATACATATGTAGTGCTATAATCCACGGCATTAAAGAATTTTATATCTTTAAAACACATTCATACTGCAGCACATGTTTGCTTGGAAGAAAGCATCATAACATAATGAAATGAGCACTGGAATCAATAGAAGCCTCATATTAAAATCTCAAATATGCCCGCTCTTATTCTTTCTCACGATTCAAATAATTTAACCTCTGTGAGGTTTAGTTACCTTATTTGAAAGTAAGTTAAGCTTTAGTTATTTCTATGATCCTTAGCATTGCAATATTCCATTATTCTAAATTAGTGGAGACTAAGAAGGACCAGGAATACCAGGAGAGATGACCCAGACGAAATGCTGGTCCAGAACAGAGGAAAATACCCAAGCATCCATAGTAGGCCATTCTTGCACTGCCATAAACACCAGTGTTCACAACAGCAATGTTCACAATAACCACAATGTGGAAAAACTCAATTGTCCCAATTGTCCCAAATGAATGGATAAGCAAAACGAGGCATACCCATAGAATGGAATATCCAGCCACAGAGAGAATGAAGTTTTTGATATATGCTAGTAAAAATAGAAACACCTGAGACTAGGCGATTTGTAAGAAAAGAACTTTAACTAGCTCAGCATCTGCTTCTGAGATCTCAGGAAGCTTCCAATCATGGCAAACACAGAGAGGGAGCAGTTACCTCACATGTCAGGAGCAGGAACAAGAGAGTGAGGTGCCACACACCTTTAAACAGTCAGACCTTGCCAGAAGCCACTCACCATAGCAAGGACAGCACTAAGGGGATGGTGCTAAAGCATTCACGAGAAATCCACCCCCATCTCCAGTAACTTCCCACCAGGCTTCACCTCCAGTACTGGGGGTACAACTCAACATCGGATTTGGGCGGCGTGTGCGCATCCAAATTATATCAGCTTCCAAACCCACTATGCCCACTCCAACATTGCATTAGTCCTGTGCTGTTTCTCAAAGTTTTTTACATAAGCATATTAACTATAATTATACTTTTTTTTGTCCTGTTTATCCAGGTTAACCTTGACTTTCACACCAAAGATGTCATTACAAAGAGCATCACTCAACCCACCCCTCACTGTTTTGATGCTGCACAAAGCAGAGTGTACCAGCTCATGGAACAAGACAGTTATACACGTTTTTTGAAATCTGACATCTATTTAGACTTAATTGAAGGAAGACCTAAGAGACCAACAAATCTTAGGAGACGATCACGCTCATTTACCTGCAATGAATTCCAAGATGTAAAATCAGATGTTGCCATTTGGTTGTAAAGAAAATTGATTTTGCTCATTTTTATGATAAACTTGGACATCTGCTTCTAAGACATAGCATGTTTAAGAATTGGTCCCATCTTTTAAACTGAGATATATCATGTGAAATGATCTTAAAATGTAAAAATAAAACTTTTTGCTAACAAAATACATACTAGATCTGCCAATATAGTTGGTAAAATCCTCTACTTGATGTCATTCCATTGATAATCAGAAAAAAAGTTATTTCTTAATTAAAAGGCAGTAGAGATGGCAGAGTTAATTAAAAGCTAAGCTTTTGCAAAGTTGTCAACAGTTCAAACAAAAATCTAGTTTGGATTTTTTACAAAAAAAGCTTAATATCTATTGTACAAATAATAATACTCAGACAATATTGGGATAGAAAGCATTAATTGAGGTATTGCATCATTGATCTTAATGCTATATCAGTTCTTTGAACTGTTGTGAATATAAAAACAAAGTACCTTGCATTTCAAAAATTAACTAAAAAGGTGATTTTTACATTTTCCTTGGTTAATTTATATTTTCTTTTTCTGTGGCAATCTGTTTTCATAGAATTTAATTGTTTCATATACAGAGTTAAGACTTGATACAAACTTTGTGATGTCATCAGAAAAATCATGAGCTGATTTGAATGGCATTGTTCTGGTACCACGAATACGTATCATGTAGCCTTTCCATATATAATATACTTCAAAATCATCTAATCTCTGGGTTGAATTATGAAATATTCAATAAGAGGCTTCAAAAACATACCAGGACTCTTTCATAAAATTAATGCCTGACTTCAAAAAGTTTGCACTCTCTGGAAGAGACAACGTGCACAAATACAAAAGCAAAATAAATAATTAGACAAGCGAAAGAAGCCAAATGCACAGAAAGCGCTGAGTGTCGGCTGAAAGACGGGAAAATGCACCCATTGAGACAAGATTTGAAGTCTTCAGTGTGTGAGCTCCCTGACTGGATGTGGGGTCCTCAGAAGTTTCTATAACTTCTAAGGACTCTTTCTTTATTCTTATGTAATCCACATTCTTTTTAATATAAAAAGACTCAGGATTTCTACTTTCTAGTGTTCCTGATGGTCTCCACACTCACTAATTCTAATTTGTTCACTTGATATTCTCCAAAGCAACACTTGACTTGTATCCAAGTAAGGAAAAGAGGCAAATAAGTATGATTAATCATGGAAAACTTAAGACTAAAAATTAACAGGGGATGTTTGTCTAAAAATAGCATACAAGATTATAGAAAACCTAGAAATATATGAAAATAACGAAGCCACAGGATATAGAGCATGATTTTTTTTTTTTGACCAGTCAAATGTGTGGTAACAATGTCTTTAAAGTATTGGATGATAAATAAATTTGGGTTGAATTAGATAATTTGGGGCATTTTTGAACCCCATAAGCAAGAGTAAATACCTAGGCTGTCAAGTTACGTACATAACAACTCAGTAAATGAATGAAAAGTCAAGTGAAATAAAAAGGAAGCATTATAAAGAAGGCAGTGTAATATTTCAGCAAGGAGTAAAGGCTCTAACATGTGGTGCATTTTTATTTAAATTCTATCTCTACTACCTACCAAGTGTACTATGTTGAACTTCAATTGTTATTTGTAATATTGAAATAAAATTTTCAGTGTTCTTATGGTGATTAAATTTTGAAATATTTGAAAAGTGCCAAGTATAGTATTAATTGACTTTAGTGTGTGGATAGATTTTAGAAATTATTCTCTGTATTTAAGTATCACATTTTAATTATAATATAAATTTTTCTAATAATGTCTTGGTTACAAATCAAAAAATATTTTTGAGAATAATGAGATTTTCTTGACTACAGTATGGGGATGGCTATTGCTCTCATCAAAACTTTTATAATTTCCACCTCATAAAAATTAATATTTTAGCTAAATTAAAATATGGGAACATTTTAAGCTTAAATATTTTTTCTAAAAAAAAATAAAAAAAACCCCAACATTTTAGTTATGTGCTGTGCAAATCTTTAAGATGAAAAAAAAGACAAAGCATGAAGATGTATACCCACCCCACCCCACCCCATCAGATGCTAAGCCTTAGCTATGGCATTAACCAAATTTAAAAAGATTAATTTATTTTCATTGTGCCATATAGACTGGTCTTATATTTAATTTCCTTGCTCTTTATCATCTGTCTAAAAAAGAAAAAAAATTACCAACACAAATTTAACCATGTTTGTTCAGCTGTCATCTGAAGTCTTTTCAACAATGAAAATAAAAGTTCATGCAACATATCAAAACCCATATTCTATAACTTGAATGAATGAACAAGTATTTATTGAAGACTTTTATTTGATTGCCACTGCTAGCTTCTGGGCATTCAAAAGTGAATTTAATAGCGGGAGTGACAGGGAAGCAGAGAGAAAGAAAAACTCTCCTCGTGGTATATTCTACAACATGCAGCTAAAAGCCACGTTTCAAACTCTTCTTCTTATGTATCCCAAACAGCAAATCCTTCTACGACCAATGGTGGAGATGATCACTTACATTTTTTTTTTTTTTTTTTGGGGGACGGAGTTTCGCTCTTGTTACCCAGGCTGGAGTGCAATGGCGCGATCTCGGCTCACCGCAACCTCCGCCTCCTGGGTTCAGGCAATTCTCCTGCCTCAGCCTCCTGAGTAGCTGGGATTACAGGCATGCACCACCATGCCCAGCTAATTTTTTGTATTTTTAGTAGAGACGGGGTTTCACCATGTTGACCAGGATGGTCTCGATCTCTTGACCTCGTGATCCACCCGCCTCGGCCTCCCAAAGTGCTGGGATTACAGGCTTGAGCCACCGCGCCCGGCCGATCACTTACATTTTTAAGCTGGGAGTTAAGCAGCTAATTTCCTCCTGTATTTAAGGACAATATAAAAGTTTCACCAATTTGCATATCTTTGTGCCTCTTTTATAAAACAAAAGCAGAAATGAAAGCCTATGTACATATCAGTACATTTTATTATGGGTTTGAGTTTTTTGGCCATTATATTGGTTTTGCACTATAAATGTACTGTAATGCCAATTATAGAAGGGTCCTTTGAAGATGAAAAAACACACAACATTTGGAGAAACATTTAAAAACTTCAATCACTTGAGAAACAATACAAATTTAGCAGCACAGGGAGTAAAATATTACATCTGGAAAATTTTTAAAAAATCAATTTGAGCTAAGTTTTTAAGGACATAATTATTTAATGGTAAATATATACATTTACCTGGAATATTACCTACTAATTAAATTTTATAGAGTAGAAATGAATCTTTCAGGAGTAATAAGCTAAGCAACTGTTTTAAACATCAGGTATTTGCTAAAAATAACAGTATTAAATTTTAGATCGTTTGTCTACAGTCTAATTATTTTGTATTTTGTTATCTGTAACAAACAGTGAATAATTGTGGGAAAAATGAAGACTGAATCATTGTTGAATTTTGGTCCACTAAAAAATATCAAAATTCTTTTAATTCTATGCTATTTACTAGAGCAAGAAAGTGAGTAAGAAACATTTGGAAAGATTGCCATCAACATGTAAAACCCAACTATCATTTTTCCAACTTTGAACTGTTGTTACATGTAAACAAACTGAAATATTGCAACATGAACCCATGTGAGATCAAACCAGTATCAATGATAGCAGGAATAAATTTATTTAATAACCTATAGTTTGAAATATCTTATACTTCCTTTCTTCTTATTTAATCACAGAGTCCTATAGTTCAACAAATGTTTGCCCTACTTCACCTCTGTCCCAGTCACCATACGGAAGAGTAGAGATACAAAGACAAATAAAATAATGTAAAGTCTATCACTGTAATATTACAATGAATGGTCTTCCTGTGTAGGCAAACAGATAAATCAGTCATTTCACTATGACATGTGAAACATTCACATCAAATATATCTTGACTTCCTTATGTCTAAAAAAATGGCAAGTCAATTTCATGCAATGTAGCTAACAGCAGTCATGTCGCAGTGTTTTCACAATATGTGTGAGTATATTTTATAGCATGGGATTAGGTATTTGATTGTTTCATTCACACTGAAATCTGATTTAAAATCTCAATCTCTAGAAATCTGAACTGATCTCATAAACGGCTATCACTTACTTTAGAATGTGAGTTCCCAGAAATATATTCAAGCTATATTAATAGAAAATTATTTAACATAGAGGCTTTGAGAGTACATTTTTGGTAGAATTGTAAAAGAATGTTAAGAGATACTGATAAATGAATATCAACCAAAAGATCTTAGATGTATGATAACTGAGACAACTAAATAAGTTCATTGGAAAATCATGATCCAACTCATGAAATTCTTTTATTTGTGCTATTCTTAAACACTTCTATTGGAAAATATAATAAACACATTGTCTAAAAAGTTCACATGATCATGAAGGGAACACTAATCTTGCAGTTTGGTCCCATTAAATATTTTTTCTTTAGTAATCAACTCATCATATATTTTCTTCTGTTGTTTTTTGTCTGTTTTATCTTTTCTCCAGGTATCTATTTTGACAAATAGCAGGAGCACACACACACACAGAGAGAGTTTGGTTTTTTAAAGGGAATATATAATGATTATAAGCACTTTTTAGTCTATTGAGTAGAGTGTATTTTCTCTGCTGTGGAATATCAGTATTTCTTCCTCATTGAAGAAAGTCTTTAGGGAAGTGTTTGGAGTGATGTAAGAAGACGACATTTATATCACTCAGAAGACTTATTAGAAAACTGGGATTATAAATAACTGATAATAGTAATTGGAGAGAAGTCAATAAAATAGTAGTTGTAGTGCTTTTAACAGTCATGCAAAAATCAGCATTATTTTGATCACTGAATATTGTGAATTATTGATGGAGTTCACTCCAGCAACTGCCATTATCTTTCTGAGGAAAATGACAGAGCATTCCATGATTATTTTTCTCATTTTTTCATACTGAATTTCTGAGGCCTTTAGAAACTTAAAAGTATTTTAGATAGAAAGTCCCATTTCCTTGAATGGCTGAGTCAGCAAACACATCTCTAGAGATCATTAAATAATTGTTATAGCATATTATAATACATCAAAGCTAATTTTTCAACAAATGATTGACATATGTCTAAATGACCTTTAACATACCAAAAAAGGTTACGTGGGGGAAATCCTTTAATTTCAAGGGCATATATATTGGCAATAAAAACAAAGTATATATTCTGGAAAAAAGAATATTACTTTAATATCACGCTATGGTTTTTATAAAGGTCTACCTATTGAAGAGTTAACATGATTAATTCTACATATCACTTAAAGATTAATAAAAACAATATGGGAGGAGATTAATTTGAATAAAAAAGACCTCTTATCTTTCATTCCAGAAATAAACATTTTAACATTTATATTCTCTTCTATTCTTTTAAAAATCTACTACAAATTTTTGTCACTGAAATAATGAATTATGAATATGAATATCAATTTCCATAGAATTACATTAATTATAAAAATCAAGTTTTAAAGACAATATTAATGTTTGAAAAAATATCTTAATTATAAAAATGTATTATATGATATCAATATGAACTAGAACTAGAATGAAGTTAAGAATAAAATATAGCCAAATCTCAAAATTGACAAGTGATGATATGTTTGAGGTAAATCATAGAGTATATTAAAAAATTGGATTATAAAACATGTGAAGATAAAGAATGAGAAAAAATTAAGTTCAAAAACAGAGACAATATTGATATACTATCTAAATACTATATATATATATTTATATAAATAGAACTATGCATATAATATTATGTAATAGAACTATTTAGAACTAGCTCCAAAATGCAGTGTTTTATTACAAATAATGCACATTGTGGTATGTTTTTGAATAATAAAAGATTTGCAATATTTGAAATTGTCTATTAAAAGCATGACATTGCTCTGATAAGGGAAATCTACCTCATTACTGGGAGCCTGAAGTAGACGCTATGCGCTACGCAGATTTTAAAAATTTTATTTCATCATTAGACACTAGTGCTGGAAGGAAATTAAAGCTCATGTCCCAACAAACCTTCACATTTTTTAGAGCAAAAGAAGGAAGTCATTTCAGACTAATTTTAAAACATTAATAAATAATTTGAGTAAAAATGTCACTCAGATATCAACCGGTATCATTTATGTATTCCTCTTATCAACCATGAATTCACTAGTACCTACAAAACAGCAAGATTCTCTTATAATGTTAGGTATTTTCTCAATCCGGCCACAAGAGTTATCTCATTTACTTAAATGGAAATTAAACATTAATCAAAATCCAATATGAAACTATGTTATTTACTTGAAATTTATTTTTGCTAATGTTATGCTTAGATGTGTTCGTAAATATACATATACACAATTGTTGAAAGAATTGCAAGCTATATTAAAATCAATTGTTTTAAACTTTATTTATAAAATGCCAAAGACACTACTATTTAAGTGAATGTTAATTGTTGGGAGAGTGATCACTGGGAGAATTTTATTTCATGAAACAAATGAAGTAAATTAATTCTATTTATTAGCATAGTATTTGAATGTAAGACATAATGCATGACACATAAAAGTATTAAAATTTTAGTCATATATGTATACATAAATCCTGTGCATATAATTTCAGATAGGTACTTAATAATATGTTTAACATTAAAATTACACATTTAATTGAATAAATACACAATTACAAAACACCAAGTTATTTCTGTCTTTGGCTTTAAAAGCCAAAGACATATATTCATATGGATGTTACGTTCATTTATAACTATAAGCTACCTTTATTTTTAGATATTAGGTTAAATAATTTTATGACAATATCCACTGATAATCTATTCTTTTGTTTTATAAAATGCCCCATTGCTTCTCTTTAATGTTTTACATATGCTACATATGCTGAAATAAGTACGTAGTATTTCCTTGCATACAAGATTCTAATTCATCTGTAGTATAAATACTAGAATTACTAATACTGGTTAAAATATCAACAGTATAAAAGGCGAACATTTAAATTATATTAGTAAGTTTGAAGACAGAGGATTTTTTCCTTCCATATTATATGGCTGGCTCTTTGGCAAAGATATAGAATGGTTTGTTTAGTCAAGTTTCCTCAAATGGTAAGTAATGATTTAGATCAGACTTGACATCATCAACACAGAAAAGGGTCAAAT